TGGCCCAAATTCTCCTTGTCCTGCTGACACTGGTGCAAATGGCAATGGGTCCCCAACAGCTTCGTGCTTGAGATCCCAACCCAAAACCTGCAGAAGACAGTGAAGTTTTCCCTTCTTATTTCAGAGGGGGAGAAATTCAGGCCTGATTTTAATATATCCATAACTTTGAAGACCTGCCTGTGTTCTACAGGGGTTAAAAGGGCTCAGAAGCACCTCTCCTGTCTAAAACATGCTCCAGTAGGCCTCATCATCTTCGCAGGGAAGGATTTCTCCCCAATATCCCATCCAAACCTACCCATGGCAGTTTGAAGCCTTTCCCTGTGTCCTGTCCCCTCAGTCTCTTGTCCCCAGTTCCTCTCCAGCTCTTCTGGAGTCCCTTTAGGCCCTGGAAGGTGTTCTAAGGTCTCTCTAGAGCCTTCTCCTCTCCAGGATGACTCTTGAAATTCACACCTTGCTTGGTCAAAGCTTGGATGGTGCTGCCACCTTCATAAAAGAGATAAACAAAGGGCTTGCGGGCATTTCCTGGGAGAAACAGAAATCCACTGGGAAAATCTCCAACCTGCCTTTTTTTCCTGCAGCCTCCTGCAAAGAGAAAGCAAGCTCCCTATTTCCAGTCTCCTCAAGCACCAAGCTGAGGGATCCAGGTGGATCTGCCGGTGCCGCTGCTGCTCCGGGGCTTTGGGAAGGGGAGGAAACAGAGGGGAAAAGAGCGGGCACATCAGCTGGTAACAGTTCAGAAACAGATGTACATTCCTGCACAGAGCTCCGGCCGGAGCGGATCCAATTTCTTTGGGAGCGCGCTCCGCCCCGAGCGTCTCATCCCTAAAGCCCCGCTGCCCGCACCTCCCGCCCCTTTATCTGCTTTGCTTTTGATTATGAACTTGTCACCGCCGGGGGAGGGCTCTGTTGGGGGACACAGGGCAGGAGAGAACAAAGCCAGGCACCACAAGGAGCAGGGACAGCCCCAAGGCAGCAGAGGAAGGTGCCCACGCCGGGTGGGTGATGCACAAGCACTGAGGAATTAACCCCTAAAAAAAGGAGGGGGAACAGTGAATCAGCCTGATCAGGTCTGGGAGAAAGAGACATCCACTGGGAAAATCTCCAAGCCCTCCCCTTGCCTTTTTTTCCTGCAGCCTCCTGCAAAGAGAAAGCAAGCTCCCTATTTCCAGGCTCCTCAAGAACCAAGCTGAGGGATCCAGTACAGGTGGTTGGGTGCTGGGTGAAATTTGGGAGCGGGGTGTTTCTGGAAGGAGAAGGGATGCTCTCCTCTCTGCTCTGTAGCAGGAGGAAGGCAAAAAGCACAACAGCGTCTGGTTTTCCTCCAGTTTGCTCCAAAAATTGGCGTGGATGTACTGAAAGGATATTACCTGCACTGTCAGGGCATCCAATCTTTTCCTGCTCCCCACGACAAGCAGAGGGAGGGGGGACAGGAGGCTAAAATCCAAACCTTCTCCTCTTCAACACAGAGAGGCCAGAGGGTGATTTTCTGGCCAAACCTTGCCCAGGGGACATCTGGACCACAGGTTTCCTATGGAGAACAAGCACTGACCCCAAATCCCGAGCCACACTCATTATTGCCCGCTAACACAAAGATCTGTGAGCCTGGTAAAGGCAGGGGAACAACATGATAGTGAGTGGGCAAACAGGGCATTACAATTTCACTAAAACTACTTTTTTATGTCGCATTTTTTATTCCTGAGCCTCTCTCCCACCTTGCCGCGGCGGGAGGAAGGATGGATCCAGCCCAGCCCGCTTTGCCAGCGGCTCCTTGGTGCTGCTTCCCGCACAAACCTCCCCAAACTCCCCTTTCCTGCAGGAAAGCCGGGTCACATTTCAGCCGGGGCTGGTCCCGCACCTTTGCTCTGCTCCAGGGCAGATATTTGCGGGATTGTCACCGCGGGACTTAGTGCTGGCAGTGGAGGGTCCAGACACACACACAGAGCAGCTCCGCAGTGATGCTCGCCGGAGCCAGGCTCAGAGACTCCATAATTACCCCACGGCCAAATCCCACCATAAATTTCCCCTAATGAAGCCTGCCTGATACTAAAAGGCTTTGCACGTTTAGAGGTTATGCACAGCAGCAATTCCCTCAGGGGGAAATCCTGCCTCGGTCCTGCAAACACTCCTTCGGTCTCGTTTGCTGAAGCGAGGCAGGTTTTTATTTAATTTATTTACTTAATATTAGCTGCTTAACCCAGAGGAGCACGGGGCTGCTCTGCTGCTGCCGCTGTGCAGCCTGGAGAGGCACATCCCAAACCAGGATCACGCCACGTGGCCACAGCTTTTTCCCAGCACGGCTCCAGTGAAATGCCCAGGAGCTGTGGCCGTGCTTGTATGGGATTATCCCAAACACCCCGTGCCAGCTGAGAACTGGGCATGTTGAGACCCATCCACACAGTCCAGTCCCAGAAGTTCTCTGTCACTTGTAGGATCAAATCCCACCCCATGGAAACACCTCACGCTCTGGGAGAACAAGCCCTGCTTTCGGTGGTCATCGCAGGGCCATAAAAAGCTGGAAAATAAATGTTGGCAGGGCAGGGAGAGAGGAGAGGCACAACCAGCAGCTCCACTCGCCCTCCTCACCAGCTGGGATCATCTTCCCGTGCTCCTGGAGCTCTCAAACACAGCCCAAAACATCCCTGCTCCCTCCCTGTGGGCACCTGCAGCCCTTTTGGGCAGGGCACCCCGGGAGCTCAGCCCTGCATTCCCCCATCCTGCCATGCTCCATGAATCCCTGCATCCCTCCTGCCCTCTCATGCTCAATGAATCCCTGCATCCCCCATCCTCCATGAATCCCTGCATCCCCCTGTTGTCCTGTGCTCCATGAATCCCTGCATCCCTCCTGCCCTCTCATGCTCAATGAATCCCTGCATCCCCCCATCCTCCATGAATCCCTGCATCCCCCCTGCCCTCCTGTGCTCCCTGAATCCCTGCATCCCCTCAACCTCCTGTGCTCCATCAATCCCTGCATCCCCCCATCCTCCTGTACTCCAAGAATCCCTGCATCCCCTCATCCTCCCATGCTCCGTGAATCCCTGCAAACCCACAGCACCTCATCCCCAAAACGCGGTGCCATGAGCTGGGAAACTGTTTGCTGGGAAAAGCAGGAATGGTGCCCCTCCAGCCTCCGGTGATGGCTTCCCTCAATACTTGGGAAGGATCCCAGGCACTCAGGAGGCTCCTAAATAACCCCAGCACAAACCAAATTCCCCTCACAAGGGGTGGTATCAGCTTTGAGGTCCCTGGTAGGCGCCATCCCAGCCCACTTGCACTCATGGAGCTCCAGGTTTTGGAGACCCCCAAACCCTTCTGGAAGGGGGATTTGGGGTGTGAGTGGGAGCAGCACCCGGCCCTGCCCGGCCCACGGGGGCCTTAAATCGGATTAAAAATCTATTTGCAGAATGGCCTCGCTTTCCGACTTCTGTGCTGCACCTGAAAACCTTTCCTTAGGAAAGCAAACACAGGCTCTCCCCGGGGGCTGCCTGGGGAAGGCTTTCCACTATAAACATTACCTACCAGCAGTGCAGCCAGCCCCAGGCAAGCCAAAAATTCCTTCTCCTACCAAGGAACACTTTCCAATCAAACCAGACATTATTTTTTCCGTTAATGAGTGTTGATACCTACTGGAAAACTTTGTAAAGAAATCCACTCTAAACGAATTCTTCTGATACAACATTGACATTTTACGAGTTTCTTTTGTCTTATTTCTTTTTTATTATTATTATTGTTCTATTTTATTTCCCTGCTCTGTACTGAAAACATGATCTTTGCCGCTCAGGAATGCATCTGTTCCTGCAATTTGGGCTGTGACTGAAGTCAGAGGTCCAAATCTGATTTTTTCTCTGCCTTAGCTCCACAGAAGCAAGCAGAGTTTTCCCACATTTCCCCCCACGGCGTGATGGAGAGGAAAAAAGAGACCTGTTGTCTTCTGTTGGATAGATCAGAAATCCCGCTATCACAGTTTTTATGCGCTGAGATACCACAAATTCAGCAGCAGGATATTCTGGAGGAGGAAAAAATGTCCTCCTACCAACCTTAGCTGCTGATTCCCTAAAATGTACTGTGGAAGGGGGGGAAAGTTGGGAGCAAATGGCAATGAATAGCCGGTGTTGCTTCTCCAGGGTCCTCTCCATGGGGTTTTCCATGAACTATTAGCTGCTTTCCAGCTGATCTATATTTTGGGGTTGTCCAGGAGGAGTTTTTGCCCCCACAAGTAGGGGTTTAGCCGCTCTGTCCCCAAATCTCCACCATTCCCAAGCTTAGCGTGCCCCAGGGAAATTCTGCCTCTCCAAGGTCACCCTGTGGGATGGGGAGGCAGGTCCCCACCCCATCCCTGTGGGACAGGGGGTTCGCAGCACCCCCTGCACCAGGGGCTGGAAAACAGGGCCCCATTCCATAGAAACAGGGCACGGTCTCATGTGTGGGGAGCTGGCTGCCTCTGCACCCCAGAATCCCTGCAGCCTGGCCACGGAGCTGGGAGAGGCACCCCAAAAACCCCGGGGGTTATCCTGGAGGGGTGCTGCAAACCCAGCATCCCCGGGGGCGGGGGGTGGCGTTCGCCAGCTATCTTTGATTCGAGGTGCATTCCCAAGATTTTAGTTAAGTGTAACATAAAACTGTGAAAGTTTAGCGGGGGAAAAGCCTTCCTCCCACCGACCTGGCCGGCCAATCAGGAGGGAGCCCCGCACCTCCCTCACTTCTGACAACTATTTAGCAACTGAGCTCAGCTAAAGTTTCCAAAAAGTTAGAATAACTTCCTCTCTCCAAGACCTCAATTTTTTTACACAACCTCGGTCCTTGAAATAAGAGCCCTTCAAGCAACCTGGAAAACGTTTGGTCAGCAAAAAAAAAAAAAAAAGGAAAAAAAAAAGAGAAAAAGAGTCCTCCTGTTTTTCCAAAGGATCTGTCTCAGGAATTTAAAGCACATTTAAGACACACACACACTCACATAACATAAGGAGGGGGGGAAAGGCTCTTCCCCTCCCCTTCTTGCAGAAAGCATGGAAGAAAGCTCCAGTTCTCCTGTTTCCCCTGTGGATAGCTTGGGGACCAGTGAAGAGGAGCTGGAAAGGCAGCCAAAGAGATTTGGCAGGAAGAGAAGATACAGTAAGAAGTCCAGCGAAGATGGCAGCCCCAACCCAGGGAAGAGGGGGAAAAAGTCCAGTCCCAGCTCCCAATCTTACGAAGAACTGCAGAGCCAGAGGATCCTGGCCAACGTCAGAGAGCGGCAGAGGACTCAGTCGCTCAACGAAGCTTTTGCCGCCCTGAGGAAAATCATCCCCACGCTGCCCTCTGACAAACTGAGTAAAATCCAGACGCTCAAGCTGGCGGCTCGGTACATAGACTTCCTCTACCAGGTGCTACAGAGCGACGAGATGGACAGTAAGATGACGAGCTGCAGTTACGTGGCTCACGAGAGGCTCAGTTATGCCTTCTCCGTGTGGAGGATGGAGGGAGCGTGGTCCATGTCGGCCTCCCACTAGCCACCGCCCGGGCCGGGCCAGCCCAAGGGGTAGGTACCCGTTTCTCTTCTCCTGAACGATGCTCTGCGTCTGTTTCCCTCCCTTTGCCCTTTGTGGAATGCTGGGGATGCTGATGGGTTTGGGGTCGCCAACCTGGAGGGCAGCGTAGGCACGTCCAGTTCCTCCCGCTCCCCCCCTGTGCCGGAGGAAATTCAAATAAATGGAGCTTCCAGGAAGGCAAAAATGAGATATCTCCAAAATTTTGGGGCGTGGGGGAGGGAAATAATAATCAGCATGCTTTTGCTATGTGGGAATGGGGAGTAAGAGGGGGATGGTGTTGAGAGCTGGGTGACGAGGGACAGAGGGGAAACCGTCACCGTGTGACATTTGCCAGAAAGCGCTGCTTCGGAGAAGGGCTCGGAGAGGAAAAGGTGATGGCCACAACAGGCTGACAAGGGGATCCAAAACAGCTGCTGCCCCGCTCTGTGGGTGCCTGCACCCCAAAAACCCCAGTGCTTAGCCCCGTGGTGGTCACATCCCCTCCCAGTTGGGGGGCCGGGGGTCAGCAGGACCCACGCGGGGCTCGGCGACGGGTTCGCCCCAGGTTGTGTTTCTCTTAAAAGAAACAAGCAGCAGATGTCGGCTGCAGTCCCAGGCTGTGCCCCTTCCCCCTCACACAGCAGAAAGCAAACAGACATAGGAGAAAGTCTGCTAAATTTTTGGGTTTGTCCAGTTTCCCTTCCCCAAAGTGACGGTAAAGCAGCGGCTGGCGTTAGGCGCAGTTTCTTATTTACTCTCCTCACCAAACCCTTCCTCGTCACTTTCCATTAGCAGAAAACTACTTCCTCTTCAGCTCCCTTTGTAATATTCTGGGAGGGAGGAATAAACAGTCAGAAAGGAGAGGGGAAAAAAGCCTTTTAATAACACCCTCATCTCCAGCTAATTAAGCAGAGCAGCTCTGCGTAGTGTCAGCCAGAGTTTGGGTCTGGCCGGGCGCTGTCTGGGGCTCCCTACATAAAACAGAGCCCACAAACCCATTTCACCAAGCAAACACTCTGAAGGGACATTTTTTCCCGCCACCCTTATGATGTAAAAATGAAATAATTTCATCATGTGCAGAGTTGAAGAGGAAAGTTTATCCCAGCCCATTGGCCAGGCTTGTTTAAAGAGGCAAATCCATCTTTGTTCAGTCATCAATGAACGGCCCCTTTGAATAAATAATATATAGAACCAGGCAAAAACTTGATGCAACTGCAGTACCTCACTTCAAAGAGGTAAAAAATTGTGAAACCAGGACTCACTAGTGGCGTAAAACGGACTTAAAACCATCTTAGATGTAAATGTTTCGCTTGCATCCTGAAATGGTTTGGAATTTGCACTTTGGTGCTGGAATTAAGTTCTTCTAGTGATTCCCCAAAATATGAAAAAAAGTCTCAAAATTGGTTATTCTGCTCACTGCAAGAGCTGCCTGTTGTTTCGTTTTATTTAAATAGGTAACACTGTTGTTGTGGGGTTTATGGCCATCTCTGGCATTTTTATATTTTGCATGTCGTGCCCCGATTTCAACTGCAGAAATCCAAATCTGAGTGGGTTTTTCAAAAGCAAAACCCTCCGTTTATACAACAGAGAGCCCTTTCCCATGCTAATCTGGCTAAAAAACTGCAGCAAACAGATTAAAAAAAAAAATCCCCACACAAAAACCCAGGCTTCTTGTCAAAACCAGATGTAAAATGTCCCGAACACATATTTCTTCAGCAGTTTAGATTGGCTGAATAGGAAAGTGCTGGGCTGGAACAATGCATTGATTCTGTTGTTTCCCAAATGATGTGTTGCTATTAGCCAAGGATGGTTGGAAATCTATTATCTAATACAAAACCCTCCTAGCACACGGGGCAAAACTTGCCTTTTTTAAACCGTGTTTTACGCCCCACATTGGTTAAATTATTATTAACATTGCTCTGATGAGGCAGATTTTATGGGTAGGTGCTCAGATTGTTCCCATCTCCACAAAAATGTGTGGATATAATGAAAAAATCGCGATGCAGAACCAAACCCTGGCACGTTTTGGTTTGATTTGGAATAAATCGGAGTTCGGCTCCTTCGCCATAACCCAGTGCTCCAAGGTGGCTCTTGCAGAAGAAGATCCCAAACTTTGCCCCTTTCCCTGTGCCTGTGCCTGTGCAGGAACACGCGTGTGGTTGGACTGTTGAAAAGGTTGTTGACAAATGGCCTGGTGCGGTGCGGTGTCAAATTCTATCTTTTATGGCGACAGAAATTACGGCTGCCAGAAAATAAAAAAATAAAGCTACAACGAGGTCCTCAAGAAGCCCTTGAGAACAGGCAAGTTTAGTTGGGTGGTGGGACTTTTTATGGGCTAGAGGGGAGCAGCCTGTGCTGCCCCAATGGACAAAAAATCCATAAGAAATTGCCGTGTGGGTTTGGGATCAGCGCCTGTCTTTCCTAGGGAGTAGGAACTGCAAACGTGGGGTGAGCGCAGCTCAGGCTGGGCTGCCATCCTCCCTTTTCCTGAGCTTTTGGGAAGAGAGAAGCAAGGAAAGGTTTTCTCCTTAGGGGAAGGCTCATTCCCCTCTGGCTGCAAGCAAAACAAAAATCAGAGGAGCTTTTTGATTAGAAAATCAGAGTCTTGGGAACTGGGAAAATGCCACCTGGCCCCTGCGAACGTCAGCAGGTCACTGCTGCTCGCTCCCCTGGCCACGAGAGCTTTTCCTGTTCTGCTCCATGGAATTCCAGACAACTGACTCCGGGAGTTGCAGGAGAAACAGGCACAGATTTTGCACCTCTAGGACTGCAGTGGGATGTTTCAGCCGAGCCTTCCTTCCCCCCAAAATCTCCCCATCCTCACCGCCAGCACCTGCGCCCTTCCCCTCGCAGCCACTTTTCCCTCTTGCTTTTGAAATTTTTCACAGGCTCTAAACTGAAAAAGAACAAATCAGGGAAAAAAGTATATTTCCTGATATTTGTTTTGTTAGGGATTAAACCTGTCCAGCTGGGATGGCAGGACCAGCAGCACAGCCCTGAGCCCTGCACCAGTAAGACCAGTCTGCTGCTCCTTCCCACTCACTGGGGATGAGCCCTTTGCCTCCCCTGGGCTGGCACTGGCACTGGGAAACGCTTTTCCCACCTTTTCCATGCTGGAGAAGCCACGTTTAATGTGTGTGTTCAACCCAGAGCCCTCATCCCATCGCCCCTTCAGATTTGCAGGGCTGTTTCCAGTATAAAACACCAGCATCCTATTTCATTTTTCTCCTTAAAGGAGCAAACAGATGTTATCTCTGCTGGCCCTGGGAACAAAACCTAACTCTATAGTGTCTGTACAGTTAACTGGGGGTGTAGTGACACTGGAACGAAGCCCTTTTTTGTCCCAAAAGCCCCATTTTTTTATACGCATCCTTCAAAAAATGTAAATAAGTTTCCTTGACAGGAAGGATTGTAAAGTTTGGTATTTACATTAATAGCCTTGTAGCGACGGGGAGGGGTGGGGGTTTCATCTCAGTGCATTTAAAAAGCCCAGCAAAATGCATTTTGGATCCTCTGTTTACGTTCGTGTCTTTCCTTGGGAAAGGATAAATCTGTTAGCCAGCAGACACCAAACACGCTGCAGTCAGCCAAAAACCGCTCAGGCTCAGGGATCTTTGAAAAAGAGGGTGCAAGGGAAATGCTCCGGAGAAGGAGACATGCGAAGAGACAAATCTGCCAGGGGGCTAGACGCAAATAAATGAATTACCCATCAGAAAGAGCTGGAGACACGCATGGCAGAGGGAAAATGCTGGATCGGGTCCGAAGGAACGCTTAGAAAAGTGGTAAAAACATGTTATTACTTAATCTGCTGGAGGCAGAGCTGCGGTGAAACTCCTATCGGGAGAGATGTGCGTTGAAGGGTCATTAAGGGAACAATCGAGGCAGACATTTGGGCTAAGTAGACCTAATTTGTCTCCAAATTAGTCATCCTCACACCGCTCGGCTATGCAGAGCAGCCCTGATTTTCAAAGCATCCTCATTAAAACGAAGGGAGAGATTGAAACGCTTCTCCTGAGCAGCCTCCCCTTCACATTCCTTCCTACGGTGCTTTTTGGGGGCATAATTCCTGCAGTTCTAGGTAGCAGTGATAAATGAGCCCTGGAGATCACAGCGGGCTCTCACAGAGCTGGGACAGATCCTGTAACCACCGCTGAGATCTCTTTTGGGGACATTTCATGTCACTCTTTTCCCCGGCAATATAATTATTTTTATAGCCGTAGCCCTCAGAATCATTTCCATGTGCTTCAGTACGGCTTTGAAATCTCCGAGCCCAAACCCTCCAGAATTTATGTCTTGCTGGAGAGCTACAGGAAGGGTTTGATGAGGCCACGAACGTGGAAAGGATCGGCACCAGAGCCCCGAAACACAGAGCGAGCTGGAAATGCCGTCAGGGAATCACAGCTGGATGGGGAAAGCGGATCTTTCAGGGACCCTTTTCACCCCTTTTCCCAGGTTTTACAGAAAGTTGGGAAGGGGGAAGAAAAAGCAAATTGCTCCTTGTAAGCCGCTGATCCCCCCAGACACCTCGGTGGCTGCTCGGAGCTCCTGATTCCCTTCTTCAGGCAAATTTGGAAGTGACGAAAACCAAGAAACCATCCAGCTGGATATTAGCAGACTCGCGCTAATTAATGATCAGTTCTCAAGAATTAAAACAGTAGAAATATTTGCCAGGGATTAAAAAAAAAGAAAAAAAAGACCAAAAAAAACCCGAAAAAACAAACAACAAAACACCAAAACAACACTTGGCATCCCGGCATTAATTAGATTTGTAGTTGTGGACGATGACCACTCAGCAACAACAACTAATCACACAGAAAGAGCAAATTAACTCAGCCAGCCCATAAATCAAGGCAAGGCAGCCCTTGCCCTCAGACCCATCCCTTTAACCACTTCCACACCAGCCCCGATGTCCTTGTCCTTCCCCTGCCAGTTGTGCAGCACAGACGTGGGAATCAGAGCTCTGCGAGCTCTTTGGGATGTGCTGCTCCTCCTGCCTTAGAGCGGGGGTTTG